CTTATGTCCAGCAGTGGACTATTAAAGGCTGTTGATGATGATACTTGAGCAAAAACGCTGAAACAAACTTAAGTATTTCAGAAGGCATCCTGGGTAGTACGAAACAACTATTTCAGAAGTAAGGTAAGTTAAGATTCCCCGTGAACATGATTATTCAGTTCTCAGTTCAAACACATCAAAGGCAGCTCTAGTACTTTAGCAAGCCTACCACCGTAGTTAAACAATTGGGAATGCCAATTGAAACTTACAACAGCTAGGCTGTTTTAAAAATTAAAATAAAAAAATCATTTTCATTCGCTAACATAATTAAGTGCCAACTATAAATTTATATACAAAAATGTTGAAAATATAGTTTATTCAAGTTTAGTAATTTAACATTTTTAACTTCTTTTTTGTTTCTTTTATGAGTAATTAGCTCTAGTATCTTTTGGATGTGAGATAGTTTGATAGTATCTTGTTTTTGGCGTGCTTGAAAACTTTTTTTTTAATGATAATTGGTTGGATTGTTAAGGCGTGAAAGTCTACAAACATACGTGTTCACCTCACCTTTGCAATCATAATATCAGCTTGTATACAAATATCAAGCCTTAGGGCTTATATTAACTGGGGTCATATTAACTCAATAAAGGAAAATTACAAATCTACGGCTTCTTTTGCAAGATTTAGCAACTTACCAAACAGGTCAATAAAGCTTTAAACTTTTTTATACCATATGGCCGTAACTTATATTTGCAAAACGCTTACAACATCAGAGAGACGTTTGTAACATGTTGCATGATATATTCAAGTTCAATTTACAGCCTCGAATTATTAAGTCAAGTCAAAATGGGTCGACGACTTGAGGAAAATGTCTGGCAGCGGATAGATGCGAACTGCCCAAGACCGGGCTTGTTGGGGCTCCAATTAATTCCACTTCCTAACTTTAAACTAATACTAGGTAAAAATATTTTCATTCATTGCTTTATTTTTGTGTGAAAATAATGGTACAAAAACGCTCTACAACAGTCAATTTTTTTTTATATTTGTAAAATTTTGAAGTATGTTTTATATGGAGAGTATTAAAGTATCTAAGTAGTTTTTCCTAATAGTATTACTGTACTCTGTGGTTGTGCCTTACCGTCTGTTGACGCCAAATTGCCATGTCGTACATAATATTAAATACGGTATAAAAATTTAATTGTTGTTCTACAAATCATGATACAATATACTTTAACAAAATAATATATAAATAAATACTTAGTATTTTTACATGGTATTCTCGGGTTGTCAGAACCTATACCATAGAAACACTTCAAAATAAGAAAAAATGGTCTATACAGAAATATAACTAATATGCAATATTAATATTGTTGTAATTAAACACGTTAAACATCTTTTACACAATTGTGTAGAATTTGTTAACTATGTTAAATATAAATAAGAGTATTTTGTCTTTATTCAGTTCATCAACACTTTGATAGGCAGTTTTTTGCGCTTCTTTTTTATCTTTAAGGGTAAAAAATACCATGATAATATTTTTTATAACAAAAAATATATCTATAGACCTAACTTTTAAATAACCATAATGTGTGGTAGTGTATTCATAGAGGGCACACGCTTGACCCTTTTCTAGTAACAGTCTTCACAAAACATGCAAAGTTTATTGCTAAGTTGCAAAATTGACGCGCCTCGAATGTTATTCTAAAACTGGATCCAGATAGTTCACTTGATCCGTCTTGTCCGATGATAGTTACTTAATAATTTAACATGACCCTATTAAGTAGGTAGTTTGTTTTATCATTATCTAAAATTTAAAGTTTATCAATATTTTCTATAATTTATTAATTTTTTTTAACATTATAAATGCTTATTTTTATATGCAAAATTAGTCCAACTGAAAGAAATATTGAACGATCCTATCTACCACCTATAAACGTAGTTAGTCTTTTACAAATAGACGTGGGTACATATAACTAAATAATTAGCTTTATGACTAAAGTATTAACTTTTCATTGGTCTGCTAAAAACAGCAGATTTGAAACCTACTTTTTGCATTTGTAGTTAATTTAACTAACATCACGAGCTTTTAATAGTAATATTTTATAAGAATAGGGCATTCTACGTTACTTTTAGTTATTAAAATAAATTAAAATCGATATATAAAATAAAAAGCCGTGTGGTGTCGTGGGACACCCGATAGGAACGAAGTTGTGACGATCGAGTAAAACTGATTCGACACGATTTTAATTACAACGCCATCTATGAAAGCGGCTATTACCTACATATTTTTCAGTTGGTTTCTAATTAAAACAATTTATACATTGGTAAAATCTCCTTGAGAAATGATTTCCTATCTATTCGATAGATGGCGCTGAATGACTGACAAGTGACAATTTAAAATAAATACTGAGATGAAAAGTAATGATTTCCTATCTATTCGATAGATGGCGCTGAATGACTGACATAAAAAGTGTCGTTACAACTTTTCGTGAGAATTTTTTCCGTCTAGCTCCCTTTCACAACGCGCGATAAGGAACTTCGTTCCAAAACTTCGTTCCAAAAACTTCTTTATAGATAATAACCTATTTTGTACCTAATCTGATCATGACTGATTATAGTTTCGAGTTAGGTTATCTTGCCTAGCGGATCGAGGCCCAACTTTTGATGTTACCATAAACTTTATACATTGTTTTACTTTTTCGGTTTAAACTATATTTCCTTGACCTATACTTCAAGCAAAGTTTCAAGAGGTCATCATCAATTGACTTAAGTGGATAAGTAACACGCAATACTATACAAACTGGTACAACAGCTATAAATAACTGAAGAAAGTTTCGAAAGACTTAATCGCGCACCCATCCACACCAGGAAGTAAAGATACTACTGAAATTTTAACGAAGCGATTACTTGTACGAAACGGAGAGTACTCTGTCTATTGTGTAAACATTTTACTATGTAAATGTCTCTATAGAGTTGCCTACTTTAAAAATAAGACGTTTTGAGTGTTGTATTTTGAAGTTAGCTATACAAAAGATGATTTTTAATTAAGTAAATCTACAAACATAAATTAGTGCCCCTGTTTCCGTACAGAGTTAGCGAAACAAACAGTGTTGTACAAACATCGGCCCATGAAGACATCTAAATGTCTGTGTCTATAAAGATAGTTAAATGTCTGTGCAAAGGAAACTTGTATACATGCTAGTCGGTTTTTGATACTTCCTAATTATTTTCGATAATAATACCAGGATGAAAAATTGATTTTATCTTGGTTTTATCCTACTGGTATGTACGTAGATAATGAGTATTTCCTTTTGACTAAACCATCTCGTTACATTCTACTTATAATTCAGACTATCTCGTTCTAAACATTTAAGTAACAAAAGTGAATTTGGTCAATTGACATAGCGTTTAAGTAAAGTTTCTGTAATGATACAATTATATTTTAGTGTTGCGTTTTGGCTGACAGTAAATCTAGTCTAAACAAATAAGTGATCATTAAATTAAGTAAATTAATCACATGATTCCTACCCAATTGTCTGATGACTACTGCACAGTGGTGATATCCTGAATTATAATATCCTGAATTGGTGTACAATAAAGATTATTCTATTCTATTCTATTCTATTCTATATACACACAAATATTAAATATACGGCCTGTTTCGTTTGAACTTTACAATGCGTGGGCTATTGATACTCTTATGCAATGTGATGAGTAAAGCACCTTGAGTACGAGTATTATAGCATATTTTTTCATAAATTATATCACAATTATATACTTTGCTATGTAATAAAGTTGACATTGATGCAACGAATGTTTAGTTATATTTGCTAGCAATAACTAAATAATAATATAATAACTAAATTTTGCTATTTTTGGGTTACAACGACTCGATGCTTCTATTACAAGCATTGCAAGCGAATATGGTTCTTTATTTTTCATTCATAAATCAAAATATTGTCAGTAGAATCAGCTTAGATTTTCACATGTAATCTACATTTAAGAACTTTTAAGTTTCATATAGTTTTTGTATTCTTTTATTCATAACATCATCATAATTCGTAACATTGTAACGTCAGATGTAATCTATAATGGTGAATGTTGTATGCACCTGTTAAGGGCATGCATACCGGGTATTTTCTTTTTATGAACATTATGTATAAGAATGTAGTGTATGCATGCTGTTGGTATATCAAAATAAATAAATAGTTTTACACTACTAATATTCTTGTTCACGGTATTAATTCAATTTTAAATAATCGAACCATGATCGGGTTCAACTGTAAAGCAGCCGTTTTTGGATCATTTAAGAAGAAATTATCAATATTGTCAATGTAGTAACCCGCCATGCTATGTGTTTTGCTCAAATTGTTTTAGAACAACTTAGATTTTTTGTGGTTAATAACGTTTATAAAGCATATGAACTAAAAACTCAAGGTCGTTCATGTGTATGTATAGTGCATGCATTAGTCAGTCTTACAAAGAAAATATGTAGCACTTCGTGCTTCTGTCAGGCTAATATACTTTCCAACTATAAAATTAAGTTAGTTTTTAGAATAAATTTATTTGTACATTGATATATAATTCTTTGTACGGAACCATCTTCACGCCAGTTTTACACGCGTTGGGTAGTTTTTTTTTAATCAAGGAGTTGTTTTGGCTTTCAATTACTTTTTGTAATCCAAGTATTTTTTGATATATTATAATGTGTAACTTTAATTTAATTTTATCAATTTTGAATGTTATACTTAGCTTTACAAATTACTAATAAAAACCAACGGAGGTGTATCGAGAAATTCGTCAACCATTTTTTGATACTCCAGTTCAGTCACATCTTAAATTTAAGACTTATAAACTACAATGCTTCATATACATGATTTTGAGTATATATTTTGATTGTGATTTTGAATACTAAAAAAACAAAGGACATCATCTCAGACAAGAAATAGCAACACGAAAATAGATTTACAATTTTTTAATGTTTTTTGATATATAATAATACATTTATAAATAGTAACTACTTAACCGAGAAGAGAAGCAACAACCCCCGCTGGTATGCCACCACCGGGACCCTGCTCGATTTCAGGGTGGAAACCTTCGTCGTCAGCCGTATAGTTCACGACGTAAGTCACGCCATCAGGTCCGACCCAGGAATAAGATCCCTTTACTGCTATGCTTTCGTCTTCACTACCTTCATTGATAATTTGTCCCTGTTGCTCATGTTTGGTTCCATCCGATTGTTCAAATCTGTGGGTAAAGGTAGGCAACGAATTATTACAAGTGAATATAAATTAAATTTAAGGCTTATGGGTTTTTAAAGATAACTAAAAATACCAAAACTATATTTATCTTCAGTGAATTTTCCATTCTATGGCAACATTCCTTATAGACTGGAAAAATATCCACTTTTTGTAATGATACAGTATCAAGAGACCAGAATTTTGATCAATCACTTTCTAATCTCTATACGAGTATTTTCTCCACCAATGTCTCGTCCCCGTATCGTTCAAAAGTGGTAAAATAAAAACCTATCTTTATAGCATTTATAAGTTAGTAATGAATTACAAAAGTAAATTAAACACAATATTTCTATCAAAAACCAAAAAAAAAACAAAGTAAAATGCAAAAAAAATTGAAAAGACCGTTAGTTACGTGTTTGCGATCAGTGAGCAATGCCACAATATTGTATTGGTAGAAAAATATAAACTGTGAATCACTATCTTATTTTTCGTAGTTACTGATAGGCTGCCTAAATACTTATGTCTATTGTACACGGATTTGGGAATATAATACAAAAATAGGGGAAACTTACGCGAATCTATAATTGCCTTCTCCTGGGTTGTCATTTTCAAGCCTCAAAAGTTGCACATTGTCTGTTGAGTACAAGTTTACCCGTTGGACTGGTACAGCAACCACTACTGCCACCAAACAAAGGGCTACGATCTATTTAGGAACACAATTAAAGATGTGTATTAGTTTATTTGTATGATGACTACGTTGCTGGTTGCGCCATGCAATAAAAGTCCTAGTGACGCTAGGATAAAAAAAGTTGTTAAGTTACTAATAAAAGGTTTTAGTTAAATGTTATTAACGCATTGGGGCTAGTTGCCATCAAATAAACAATTAATATTATTGCGTTACTAATTCCATTAACGTTTAGAGAGTTTAAGCATTTTCAGAAAATAGATTTTCTCTGATAATGCTTAGTACTGCACTGTTATGCTTAAACTTTGATACTAGTGAATTGATACCAAAGAACGCTTGATACTAAATAACATTACTTTTAAAGAAATAATATCAATTATGAAAATTCATATGAACTAATGCCAGTTAAAAGTACTTTTTAAAAATAGATATTTTCTTTGTGACATTAGTGCCAACTACCTCTGTTTAGGAAAAAAGAAAATACGATACAATTATTTGTCCTCGGTGGGAATCGAACCCACGATCTCTCAGCAGTCAGTATATTAACCAGGTTAAAACGCTTGTCAGTTGACGAAACAATAGCCACTTTTATCCGATTTTCGAATGGATACGTTTTTCACCCTTTATCACTATACACTATTAATGCACAAAAGACACAAATAAAACGAACCAGTTTCATATTGGAAGTGCTGATTTCACGAATAGATGCGATTAAATGACGAATCTCATATGAAATGCGTTCTTTATATATGGCACAAAACATTATTTAAATATATGTCGAACTAGTATTGGTGGAATGAAGGTGAACTGCTTGACATCCACATAATGTCTGTCATTCCCTTAATGTAATATATCTGCACCTAACATAAGCTTTAAGCGATCTTGCTCAATGTATAAGGATTATTACGGAGCTAGTCACACTTTTAGAGTCTATAGTATTAATTAACACATCTGTTTATTTTTCTGCAAAACAACTGACGATGATTGCAAAATTACTTCCCAATTCCAAAAAGCTGTCTAATTTGCCCCATTCGTTTAGAGACTGAGCTCACGAACAGACATTGACCGTATCATAGTACAAACGTGAAGGAAGAGTCTATTAAACAATATTATGAACGAAAATCTATTTTTTTTTTAATTCAGACACAAACAGTATTCTATTGTCATTGTAAGTATTTATTATTTATTTAGTGTAAGTTTTGTTAATGTTAATGTTTGTTAATGTAATTTTTGAATATTGGAAGTCAACCTTTACAGAAAATAAGATTAAGTGTCTTTTTTAACAGGACTAATAAAATAATGATGTTGGTGAGTGTTATTCATTTTAATTAAAGATACGGGCCTGTTAATCTAGTGGTTAGTGTTTAAGACTGCAAACCAGATGGGTTCGATTCCCACCCGGAACAAATAATTTATATATATATATATATATATATATATATATATATATATATATATATATATATATATATATATATATATATATATATATATATATCCAGTATATCCAGCAGTAGACTATTAAATACTGTTGATGATGATGATGTGAATTTTTGGGAGACCTGAACAGGGCTTAACCCGACTCAAAGGGTGATGAAACCTTCATGTACGTTAATCTGTATATATTAATTTAATATATACCCTTCACCGTTAAAGCAAGTGACAATCAATTTCTAACATCATCTTGAAAAGTCAGAGGTGCGCGACCGCGGAATGAACTTTCCGTAATATGCAATTGACAGGCATATTTCCTATTTAATTCCACCAGTAGGTAAATGGGCATAACATCTCTAAGAAGTGATTACACTTTCAAATTGTGTCTACTGTTAGATCTACCTAAAGTAACAAAAAAATCAAACATGATGTTAGGGATTGTAAACAAAATATTAGTAATAAATCGTTCTACAAAGTCATTAATCAATAGTGATTAAAAACGTCCTTTTATTATTATTTTTATACAAGTTATGTTTATTATGGTGACACTATTAAAATATTTTAAAGGTCAAAAATTATGGATGCAACAGAAAATTTGAATACTAATATTTGGGTCAATGCTGCTGTAATTCATTCAGATGTGTATAATCTAGTTTAATCTGTATATGGGCGCATCAAATCTCTCAAATCAAATAAATGTGCATAATTTAAATAAAAATTAGGGATGGAAAATATTTCATTACCATTTTCGTAATAAAACTTTCACGCTAAATTGTCTTGTCATATGAACTAACAAATGTAAATTTGTATTATTTACGTCACAATGTTTTTTTTCATTATTAGTTGACATAACAATTACTAACAACTTATTATTATATTATAATAAGCAAATATTTATTTCAGCGATGAGAAAAATCTAAACAAGTATTAAAAGCTTCACATTAATAAAATTTTATTACTAATTTAAATATTAATAAAAAACTATAACTATAAAAGATTAATTTGCGCTATAAACATATTAGTTGTTAAAGACAATACTAGCTGTGTGAGATTTTTATAGCAATAATTTAATATCATTTTCAGACACAATACGATAAAAAAAGAAAAAACCTAAACTACTAAAAAATAAGTCTACAAAACACCTTAACTCGTTGGAAACTGCTTATGTTTTTTACTATTTTAGAAATAGATTAGTGGCTTCTGACTTATTTTGGCTGCTGTTTCACACCGTGAGCTGCTCCTACCGTGGGTTGAATCACTTGTATGACGTGCAAGTCATACAAGTGATTCAACCCTATATGGTTTGTGCCGAGGCACGAAATACAGAAGGACTAATCAAAATGTTTTATTACACATAGTTTTCAAATTGGTTTTTCTTAATTTCATTTTAGCTCAAAGATGAAATCTAGTCAATTTTTTTGTCATAGATCATACCGTACCGTACCGTAATTAGGGATATGAAGTTTAAATAAAATATTGATTTAAAGAACTCGAATAGTGTATTCAGATAAAACATTGCGCTCGTGAAAATTATAGTCTAATGAAAAATTGGAACATTTACTCACTTCATCAACAGCCTTTGATAGTCCACTGCTGGACACAAGCCTCTCCTTAGAAAGGAGGTTTCTCACTTAATAATAAATAATCTTGCCCATTGTTTTAGTGGTTAGTGATCCTGACTGCTAAGTCTGCGGTCGTGGGTTTGATTCCCACCCCCAACAAATATAAAGTGATGACCACGAGTATTTGTTCCATTTCTTGGTATAATATATCTATTATATGTATCTATATAGAAATAAACGAGTCTGTTTATCAGTGGTATGTTTATCATAGCACAGGCTCTACCTAGTTTGCCATCAGACGGCCATGTGTGATATGTCAAGTTATAATTATTTTACAATATCTATTTATCTGTAAATATCTTATAATCAGTATGAAACGCATCTATTTGTGGTCATCAACTGGTGTATTTTTTCAAGAAAAAGGTTTTTTTGGTTTCAGTATCTTGTTTTCTAGAAAACAAAGGATTTTGTGTAATTTTATTGTATCTTGCGACAGTATTTTTCTGACAGTATATTTAGATCTTCTTTTAGTAACTACAGTCCTCCAATACTTAATTAATGAACTTAATGAATTCGAACAGTGATTGAGTTTTAAACACTTTTCAAAGTGCTTCATAGGTACCAGACAAGCAAAGGACCCGAATATATTTTTTTGTGATGATAATACCGTGAATGATTAAACGGATATACATAATTTATGTGGGTCATGAAAAACGATTTTACTATTTAACAACCGTGGAAGAATTATGCTTCGGTACAAATGGACTGGCTTCGGATTGGTACTAGGGCCTAACAGAAAACCAGTGCTAACCAATTCCTTGCTTTCACCGAGTGAGTGAGGTTACTTCAAACTCACCTTCACCCTAATTCTGGGAGGAGAGGGGGGGGGGGGGGGGCTTGGCACTTGTGATTCTTGAGTTACAAGTGGTCATCGGCGTCGGTAGTCACTTAAAATCAGGTGACCCGTCAGCTCGTTTGCCCAAAAAACTCAATAATTGTTTCTCAGTTTTAAAATATATGTATTATTATTTGGTATTACTCCATTTATTACATTTTTTTTTACTTATGATTTAGCACAGAATTGTTTTTTTTTTTCAAAAATAAGAAAAACAAACTAAATAAGTTTAGGAATAAATTCCCTCAGCATAAAATGTAAAAATATAATGTAAAATTGCACATTTTAGCACTTCTCATAAGCATTAAAATGCCATAAAGGTCACCTTCTTCGCCTTACCTAGGTATTTTAGGTAAATACTATAATAGCCTTTCAAGTCTACAACAATGAAAATAACATTGATTTCACAATATCATGTCTTATTTATAATGGTTTGATATTCAATGTAGAAACTATACCTTGAGTATTAACTAGGAGTTTATAGGCTCAGGTATTTACGACGCAAGGCTAAACGGCTACGTCTGATTTTGACAAAGATGTTAAGTTGACAAGATAGCATATAAATCTACGTTTATTATTATATTAGGTATCTTAATGGTCACCGTTTTTATATTGATTACCTCGGTGGTGCAGTGGTAGTGTATGCGACTGCTGTGCTGAGATCCCGGGTTCGATACCAAATATTTGTATGATCTTCCATAACCTCAAATGGTATGTGATTATATATGGTGGATCATATAGATATAGCAATTATAGTAATGTAATCAACTACTACTATAATATCCGTCGGATCATATTTGAGTGTATAAATGCTTTGATTGATTCATCACATTCATATTCGTAAAACCTTGAAATTAATTTGTCGTGGTTTAGAATTCCGCACCGAGTAGACAAAAGTTCTTTGGTTAACTTGTTTGTTGTTTAAATACATGATCAATTTATCAATTATAGTTATTATTTTTAGTAACGACGAGTAGATGTATGTAATTAGTAGATATTAAACTTCTAACCAAATCAAAGTAAATTTTGATACCAGATCAAATTTCCTATACTGCCGGATGACGGATATTAATTTTTTCATGGTATAGGAGGCACTAGAGCCCTAGGTCACCAAATGATAACTACCGCTGCCCACGGAAACCTACAACTCATAAGATGCAAGTGAGTTGGCGCCCTTTAGGTCCTTCTCCTGAAGCAGAGGAGGGGAGATTCGGGTTCACTTACTTACTCGCTCGGTTAGGTCTTAGTTTTTTTATGAAATAATAAGCATATAATGAGTAGAAATGCAAGATTTTCATTTAAAATCAAAGGACTGGTACTTTGATAAATTATGGTTAATAGATAGAGACTAATTTAGGAAGGTAAACGATTTAATTTATCTTCAAAACAAGGCAAAATTAAGAAACAATTCCGCTACAGATATGCAAGATACATATTTTATACAAATCTGATAAAATTCGGTATATAGATCGAGTATAGTATAGTATAGAGTATAGTAAGTAATAAATCCTTAATAAAGTGGACCGGCTTCAAACAGTACTGACAAAGAGCAATAAAAATTTAAAAAATACTTGCATATCTAAGTAAAAAAACCATCATAAGTAACCTCAATATAACAGGTAACATTATAATAGCAATAGTTACTTCTAGTCTGCTTGATGTCGGTGCCAAGCCAAATAGGTGCTTGGTAGGCTTGGGAGAATGTAGCGAAGCACCCGCAACAGTCTTCATGCTGCGCAAAACATACTGAACGAGGTAAGGTGGATTGTGCACATCTCCAATGATATTATTATTTTGAATGCTTTATTAAGTGGTTGATAAGTTTGCGCACGCAATTGTTTTGGTTGGTCTTTATTAATTATCAAAATCTGCGATGTTTCATTAGAATTAGAATTAAATTGAATTCTTAATTTTTTAATGTGCAAATATTAAGCTGACATAGACCGGTATTACTCATTGTTCATCGAGCTTACAAATTACAATTAAAAATACAGACGAATTGATAACCTCCTCTTTTGTGTTTTTGAAGTCGGTTAAAAAGTGAAGACCGCTGGAATCGGCTGCACACAATATTCTATGATCGAATTGGTAATGTTCTCGGATATGTCAAATATATACGACACTATTATATGGTTTGTATAAATATTTAATTATTGTTTTGTAAAGGATTAATCCAATAATATATTCAAACAGGCATTTTTGCGTTTATATCTAACATGCTACTAATCTTAATGTAGCTACTAAAGCCGTCATCCGACTAAATTATGCAATTTTGAATATTTAATCAGGATACACGAAATAAATACGCAAAGACAATTTCTAATTTAATTTATGTTCTGTGTAACTACGACGTTTACTAAATCATTTTTTTTAAGTAATAAGTGACTTCCATTATAAATCTAATCTAGGCAATTTAATTAAAATCGTGTGGAAAAATAGCTGTCACTGCAGCACTTTAATTTTAAGAGACAAGTAGGCTAATACTTACTGCTCTAAGTCATCAAGGCTCAAATGAGATGCAGTCGCAGTGACATAATATAATGTATTCTTTTAGAATATCCCTGTGTTCAATTGAAAACTGTAATCTGACCTCTACTCCTTCTGATGCTCCCTGTCAGTAACTAGGCCATAGAGATTAGGACTAGCTAGGTCTAGTGTCAAATCAATATATGGTATTCATTTTTTTTTTACAAAAACAACAGATAAGATAGAATGCTATCTTACTCAAGAAAGTATTTATAACAGTAACTTGCTAAAGCTAAACTAAGTTGAAGCAGCATTACCGTATAAAGATTACGTAGAGCCGTAATTGAAACAGTAGCAACTAACAGACAATCATCTCAGTAATATGTAATTATCTTTTGTACTAACTATAGTTTCAGTTTCATTTGATATATTCACACAGTGAAGTAGTTACAAGCATTCTAAAGTTGATTTCTCAACTTTGATTTTACGTTTTGTCTTTCATCAAGCTTTATCTATTTTTGAAGAGTAATAAAGTCTAAATACAAAATTGAGAGATAAGTACTTTAATCATCGATAAAGGTTCTTTGTAAAGTATGATGAGATACATTATAGTAAATATTACGATTTATTTATACATCTGAAGATTTAGTGTTAAATTAAACGGTCACAGAACAGATGCAAAGAGTTACGGTAAATCCCACGGTAAATAAGTACTTTTTATTATGTTCTACTCATAATAAAGTTGCAGGGCAATAAACAAAATTTTTTGGTTTGAGTACTTTTTAGAGGATTTTTTGGGTATATGTTTTCAGTTTCCTATTTACTTTTAATATCAGACTTATTAAATTACTTCGTATAGGAACAAACACTTTTTCTCTGGGGTGTCTGTTATTTCTGTTGCGACGAAGTAATAGTTAACCAAAACATCAATTAATTAAATTAGGACAAGTTGATAAGAACTTTTTGTCAAGTACGAACTGAGCAAATGGTCTTCATTCTCGTGAGTTGATCTTCATAAATTATAAAATCAACTCGAAATCATCAGGTATGAAAAAATAAAAACCCAATCAAAATCGGTTATTTAGTTTGAAAAGTGAGATCAGAGATAGAAGTTTATCATCAGCCTATCGCAGTCAACTGCTGGACAAAAGCCCATTGCACGCCACTTAGATCGATTTTGGGCTTCTCGCATCCAGCTCCTGCCAGACATCTTGTGCCACAGATAGACATATAGACACTCAAGTCAAACTTTTGCTTTTTGCGTCTGGCTAATCTAACCTACAAAGGTAGAACGTTGGCTAGTACTCCGAGTAGTCTATCGGACATACTATATGTATATCAAATAAAATTTTGAAAGCCCTTAGAGCTACTTAATCCGGCCCGTCATGAAATTCGCCTTCAACCGACATACCCTACTCAGAAACAAAGTCCCTGTGAAGCAGATTCCCAAATTTCGTTATTAGTCAGTACGGGAGTGAGTTTCCGTTCACGTTCACGTTCGTAAATGTGCAGAATGTTTCTATTTAAATATTTTTTAGATGGTTGTCTTCACAATAATTAACAAAGGGTTTTACAAGTAATTTACAAAAGTGTATACATTACAAATATGTATACAATAGTGATTATTGTAGTGAGATGTAGATGGAATTGTAAGATTGCATTACATTTGTACAGTGAGGGATAAATTAATGCTGAGTGGGTAAAAATATAGAGTAATTACATGAATTAAGTGATGTTATTATATAACAAATATAGAAAAAGTACTCAAGATACTTTGCGCAAATGACCTACTTTTTATTGTCGTAATTCAAATGACTAGAAATATATTAGGAAAAGATTAGCGTTACTTATAATTTCTCAATAAAAAAGGGGTATCGTTTCAAAGTTTATGTAATTTGTCTACATATTATATCATCCTTGTTTGGTCTTAAAGTTATATGTATTTGAAACATAAATATTTTAGGCATCACGTAATACCATATCCGTGACTCTGGTTCTAGACATATAGTTTATTAGTTCAAGTGGCTTGCTTTCATAATTGTATGAAAGTTTTTTCATCAAAATGATAAATAAAGTATCAATAACATATGATATTTTTTTTAGACTTTAAGCTTCAAAATAACTATTATCTTATCGGTGCTTCAGGGCAGGTCACTGAATGAAAAATAAACTTTATGTTTACGTTTAATATGAGCAATATGATCGCTTGTGACCATGGCCCATGGAACCAAATAGAAATATTAAGCAATCATGCAGTATTTTATAGGCACATAAATAATAGTAGCGCTATTTCCCACGACGTCTCGTGGTGTCATCATGATGACATATTTAAATATCGTTAAATGTAACCACACTTCCCACAAAAATAATGATCCAGTCTACATAGTATGAAATGTGAAAAAATGACTTGTTTGACCATATAAAGCAACTAAATAAGTAAAAGAAATAAAATTCATCAATTAAAAACTGTTATGACTATTTATTTATTTCTTAGAATAATACTATAATAACGAGAGAGTATATAAATATTATATACATCTTCGTGAGTATTTATTTACAAAAACCTTTTTAATTTCCAGGGGAAAATTTCAAGGTTAACCTAGAAGTGAAGCGACGACTGCCGATGGTACGGCTCCACCAGGACCCTGTTCAATGGTAGGCTGAAAACCGTTCTCGTCAGCAATGTAGCGGACTATGTATGTGACTCCATCAGGTCCAACCCAAGCGTATTGACCTTGAACAGCTATGGCTTCGTTCTCAGTTCCCAGATTCTTAAGTTGTCCCTGTTCTTCGTGTTTTGATCCATCAGACGTCTCCCATCTGTAAGAAAATAGCAACAATTAGTAGTTGCCGTGAGACAATTCAATAATTTGTGACCTATTCCTATTTTTAACTTTTACGTACGCGAAACTGTAGGAATCAAGTCCACCATTGTTGACGTCATAACGAACAATTTGGACATCCTGTGGGTTCAACAGCGGGGCAGCATATGCGGCAGCAATTAAAGCAAAAAACACGAACTGAAACAAACGTTTTAGATACTTTTAGTTCCCGAAACACATTTCACTTTTCATCTCACTTATCCACGACGTCACTAGCACCAACCGATTTCATTTTAGTTTTTTTGTGCGGCTGCCCTGTTGAGAGAACACTTGATGTCTGGGATGATTACGTATCCAAACGTTTCTCTTATATACCAACGAAGTATTTCTTCTAATACAGCGTTGCAAAATCCCCGACTGGGCCAGTAAGATGCTGTTTATTACCGTATAGCACAAGATACAGCATCTCTTTTCGCACACGACAATGAATGGGGCATTCACACAGACGTAGTTATACATAAATGTCGTTTATCCATGTAGTTTGTGTGTAATCTCATGTGTTTGTATTTATGTACTGTAATTGAAGCATAAATGTCAATGTTAATATAAGTAACATAAAGATGCAATATGATTTGTTCTAATTTTACTTTACAGTGAAATACGTACATAATACTTTCATAACACTTTGTCAAACAATTTTCAAGGGTTTGACTCTTATACTGCTTAGAAATATCTTCCGCGACGTAAATTTAGTTCCCTAAACTTTTTTTGCAAATTTTTCATTCACGTTATTAAAATTTCATGAACCAGCTCTAAAGTATTTAATCTTTTTTTCTACATAGGTTAATACTTAAAAACACTAAAGAAATTACAGGCACATTACACAACTTTTAGGAACTAATTACGTATTGTTTTCATTTTTAATTATGAGTATGTTTCTGCATATTGAGGAGAAAGTCAGAAATTTAATTTAAAGCGCTACTCCATCTGATAGGCACCAACCCTCTGAGCCTTTTTCCCAAACAAGGTTGGGGTCGGCTCTAAGTCTACTACGATACGGCTGAACTTAGATTTTTACGCGGAGCGACTGCCATCAGACCTCCACAACCCAAGTACCAGGCGACATCGAAGTTCTGTAGAAATATCGTTTTTTGACTTTTTACTTGTCTAATTACCCGTAATGATTACCACAGATGTTCGCATGGCAACTGGGATGGACAGCTTAACGAGGGGTCTCAATGGGTTAAGAATGGTCGCCCATACATAGAGTGACCTGGCGAGGGTTGCATAACTTTGCAATGTATTAACCTGATCGGTTACCACTTAGCCACGATTAATATATAGAACTAAATTTACATGATTAAGATATGCTACCTAAATATATTTCCAATTTCACATCACATCAACAGCCTTTAATAGTCCACGTCCACGTCCTTTAACAACGTTTAATTAAAACGAAGGAAAATGCTTCATGTGATTTGCCATTGGTTATGTAAATGGTAATTGATTATTACAGCACAAACCATGATGTTGGCATCATGGCTATAATCCTAATGCAATCGTTTAAATTTAACATAAGGCAAGAGATGTTGACTAATACAAATTATTCTAAAGCATACTCATCACAATACATACATGTAGAATATTACTTATTATGCTATTGGTAGTGAAGTATTTCGTGCTTCCCGCAATTTTAGCTAAGTTTTTTATTACTGTTCTACACGTATGATTCAATGTATCATTTAAAATTACGGTTTATCTTTTTAAAGAATTGGGTTATCAAGTGTAAAAAAATATTTTTTTAAATACAATTAGTAGTTTTAGACGTTCGTGTCTAACAAGAAAAGAGAACAGATTGTTTTGATTTCTCATTTTCCATTGTAACGAAGGAATTCATATTTGTATTACAATAACAATTTACCTTAATTAAGTGTCACCAGAATAATAAAAACCTAAGAAGAACGCAATGTTCATTTCTGCAATAGGTCAGCGTATACATTATAGACATCAATAGCGTTTCTAGGCATATTGTATACGTAGGCGATGGATGGTTACCACACCTCAAAAGGTACCATTTTATTACCCATTACTTTTATCAAAGCATATATACGTCAACCCATACATCAAACTGGGTTAAAATTTACAAGTAAAGAAAATAAAATAATTATGTAAATTAATTATTAGTTTGAAAGTATTCTGAATATATCGTTAGTCAAAGAAACTTCATTCCCAAATATATCATATACTCGTAATTATGTCGTTCACAATCATCTTAGCTCTTCTTACGTCATAATTACTATGTAGGTACATATTACTTGTATTAAGTACAGCTGGGTATGTGGCTATCATTGGTGTGGTACCATTGATTGTCCAGAATTGCTGAGAAATATCACACTTGGAACGAATCAATTAGTTTTCAGACATCACCCCCTATTACACGTTCCCTTTGCTGCTGTTTTAATTATTCATTTTTATTTTGTTTTTATTGTGTTGCTTTTAATTTAGGTTTTGGTTTTTATTTCTTAAATGAACACTTGCTGTTCAAAACAACTGGCAATATTGTGTATAACTGTAGTTTAGTTTATGGAAGCTTTTTATGGGCAATTTAAGCGCTACTCAGCTGTGTATATTAATATAAGTCTGTAAGCTTTCCTAAGAAAAATAAATAAGTTAGGGTTAAAAGATCCATTAATATAATCTTTCGGAACGTGGCAAGTTTAGTCATACTAAATCAAAGGTAATCAAATACAATAATTGTCAACTCCCTCGTATTGGTAAAACCCATGAGTTACGCATCAAGTTGACTTGACACTTTTAAAGGTCAAGCTTATGAGTTTCTCGTGCATTTTGTAATTGTGATTTGGTGTAAGAAAGATATTTATTTAATATAGAGAGAGGCCAATAGACTTATTTGTGCTGATAGACATGGATAAAAAGTGTTGTAAGCTATCATGGTAAGTGTAACATTCACAGGTATTTTCTAAAAAAAACTCTTTGTCCTATGATTTTGTTTCCCTAAAAAGGCAGTAATTTATTTGATAATTTTAAATTGGATTTTCCATTTAAGTTTTTGTTTACATTATTTACACACCATAATACATGTCATCGTAACCGTTTTCCAGAACATTCTACCACACTGATGATTAAATTACCCATAAATTTTGTTATCTTGTAAATCGTAACAATATTGGTAGAAATAATGGACCACTTTGTCATCTAATGAGAGTATCTATGCGAATCAACGCCACAAAAGTGAAAGTAATTCCATCAATCTATTTATTTATTTATTGTTATCTTTGCACGACCAAAGTCTGAGACCTCTGGAGGTTATAAAAATAATCTACGAGTATATGCATGTTGCATGAGTATGAGCATGTTGACTGATACGTATGAAACGTTTAGTTGGCTTGTGTAAGCTTCAAAAAATCAAAAAGTTCTGCACCGATTGAGCTCAAACTTTTACACGATGTACAACACGCTTAAAATATGGCTTTTATCTATTTTAGGTTAGGTTTACAGCTATATAATATAAAAATAAAAGTTGACATTTTGTCATGCTGTTCATAGTTTCAAAATTGCTGAAAAGATGCATGTTGACTGATTTTTGCGTTGTTGTTGAGTTGTATTGCGTAGTTTGCCCCCTTAGTCGGCTCTTAATCATGCCAAATACACCAAAACTGCAATCATGACAGAATAGTTTTATACGCATTTTTAATTTTGTTTTCTTAAACACTCCTCTAAATTTTCAAGACTATCTAGTCAGCAGAAGTTTGGTAGATACTTATCAGTAAATGATAAAATGGTATTCAAGTTTCGGGGTCACTTAAGAGGGTAAGGTCAAATTGGACTCGAAGAAACTCGGTGTGCTCAACAGATCGAGGCAGTATTTAACTCCGGCCCATAGCCTTCAGCTCTATAAGGTGCAAGTCCGGCCGCTTATAGAATCCTGTTCTCATCTCTATGCAGGTGCACCTCCTTTCTAGGGTATACCTGGTTCCCCGGCTATTAGTACCCGAGACGGCGTGCGATTTTAGTCGGTTCGAATCCGACATGCCACCGATAGGTGGTATCCGAGGGAATTTCCGCACGAAAAAAAAAAAAAAAAACGACTGCATCCAACGAAAAGCGACTCAAATCGTCGATAGCCCGAAACATCTCCGATCGGCTCGATCCCTTGGCGTTATGTATAGATGTGGCTTCACTCTGCATTCTCTATATCATTATCTTTCTATATCATGGAGAGTGCTCCGAGGAATTGTTCAGACTAATACTAGCCGCAACTTTCCGCCATCGTTCCACACTGCAAAATTTTCATCCTCATTACCTGGATAGTTGGCGCTCCACTACTGTGCCCTTTTCGAGATACTTTTTGCCCCGCACAACTAATCTGTGGAACGGGTTATCATCTGCGGTATTTTCGGACCTATACGGCCTTCAAACCTTAAAGAAAAGAGGGTACTCCTTCCTAAAAGGCCGGCAACGCGTTTGTGACTCCTGAGTTGCAGATGTTCATGGGCGGCGATGGTCACTTTCCATCAGGTGACCCGTCTGCTCGTCTGCCCCTCTAACATAAAAAAAGTTAATTAAAACAATCTTGAATGTTTTACGAATCCTAACGGTTCGTAAAAAGTCCAAGAACATCAAAAAATTAATAAAAAAGTGAAAACTATTGAAGAATTCTTCAACAGAATATTTGTTATAATATAAAATCTATAACGAAACTAGCTTAAACTAGTCCAAAAGTGATAGACTTCCTGATGACAGAATAGTAATTTGTTTCTATAAGTGCTAAATTATAAATAATTAATTTGTATTAAGTAAATTTCTACATAATGGCATTAGCGGGTGCATGGCCAAGTAACATTTGCCCTGGAAACTATGTTAATTTTTGAATAAAAGTTACATAATAGAATCACAATCGGAAAATGAAGCGCCTACTTGTAATGTTGTAACAATAATGGTGAGTATTACAAGTCATGCTCGCTATTACAGTTACAGCATTACATTAACTTACATTATTATTCATACAAAAGTTAATGTACCCAGTTAAAGATATTAAGTTAAACTATGAATCATAAAGAGAAAAAAAAAGGCTTGTGAATGTATTCAATTACATGTAGTTGTTACTTAATGTATTGTATGATTAAATTTTGTCCACTGAGGCGGTTACGGTTTATTTGCAGTTGAAGATCTTATGCAAATAGTGTCGCGCACTAATACGGTTATTCTGGTATGTATTACAACATCATTTCTTATGAACTGAAATATCACTTATTCAAATTAAATATTTTA